ATCAAAACATGCAGGCAACAATCCATGTTTATAGGAAAACATAAACTGGCCCATTTGCAATGAGCAAATATCACAAAATTTCATTATATGAAGTTCTTTAAAAATAGGATCTGTATGTGCATCAAAATTACTCCTACTTAAAATTCTGACAACACGTTTCTGAAGTAAAATAATACGATATGAATTACTCTGGTAGGTAGACGCCCATACCAGATTACAATAATATAGATATGGATAAACTAAAGAAAAATATAACGTGCGCAAGTTTTCTTTAAATAGGTAGAAACTTGATTTATAAATTATTCCTATAAATTTAGATATTTTATTTGCAACTTGAGCAATCTGCGGTTTCCATGACAAATGTTGATCCAAGACAACTCCCAAAAACACAATTTCACTTACTTGAGAAATTTCATGATTATTTATGCACAAATTTATATTCAACCTTCCCTTCTTTTGTTTTGGCTTAAATAACATGAATTTCGTTTTATCTAAATTTAATGATAACTTATTTGCTTTAAACCATTCAGATAATTTTTCAGTCTCCTCCTTCAAAACTTTAGTTAGAATTGTTGGGTCATAATGCGAGTAAAAAATATTTGTATCATCAGCGAACAAAATTACCGTCAAAAGTTTCGAAACATTTGCTAAATCATTGATATATAATAAAAACAAAAGAGGACCCAAGATTGAACCCTGAGGTACTCCGCAGGAAATATTCTGCTTAATAGAATTTGTTTGATTATATTATACATAGTTTGTGTATATAAACGACAAGTGATTTCTCAAGCCTCTTTCTCCTTATGCCCATATACACCCTGTCACCCCAGAATAATGAAAGAAATTGTAAAACAATATCATGCTGAAATGATACCTTTACTATTAAACAAATCGACCAAAGTAAGCCTCCGTGCAGTGAGGTATAGTTTTGCCAAGTAATGGATGATTCCATTCATAGACGAAATTTGATCTAGACAAGAACGAGATCCATTACCATAGCTGGAAAGAGCATCTTAAAATGAGTAAAATTGCAAAGTTTGGTTGCGAATTGTTGTAAAATGAAGAAAATATAGCCCTGTGAAGTTCGCAAATTTTGTATATATTAGGGAGCAAGATGCACCAAATGGACGCGACCAGAAAACAGTCGCTTATAATGGAAGACTAGTTTTACTTTGTTTTTCTCGTGTCCCTGGCTTCCTTTACCAACAACAATCCATAGTTTTTTTTAAGTGAAACTATGATAATGGCGGCAGTTTTTCGTCACGGGGTCCACGTCGTAGATTTTGGTGTATCTTAAGCTCCCTATTTGCATTACGCGCGGGAAAAATAACCATTGAGAAAAATAACAATAATGAGTAAACTCTACTATTGCTCTACGGTCTGGGCAAATACATCTACCACAAACATTAAGAAACTTCAAGCGGTTCAAAATTTCGCCCGCAGGGTTATAACTAACGCAAGAAAATATGATCATGTCACACCTGCACTCCGGGCGATTAGTTGCCTTCCAGTTAGAGAACTCCTTCAATATAGAGATCTGACTGATGACTTATAAATTATGACCAGCCCCTGATACTCAGGCTAGGCCAACCTCGTTCCCAGTCTTGGAGACTAGACACCACCATGCAGTGTATCACCTGTAGCTTCCCTCAGTGGTACCTGCCGCTGCACATCGTTTCGTTGCCATGGAGTGAATCAGTAAATAAACGATGATTCACAAGAATCCACAAAGAGCCCAACAAAGTTAGTGAATATTTCAAGGTAAAATTGATAACTATACTTTAATCTAAAATGGAAGTAACAAGATCAAACTTCAAAGAAGCTTTACCCGTAATTTCCAAGGCTATAGAAGATTCATCATTTATTGCGATTGACGCTGAATTCACTGGACTGACAGCTAGCAAACGCGAGAATGAATTTTTCGATACATGCGAGGAACGATATAAAAAACTTATCAATGGCGCTAAAGACTTCACAATTGTACAGTTTGGTATATGTACTTTTAACTGGGACGATGAACAACAACAGTATGTAGCAAAACCTTTTAATTTTTATATCTTCCCAAAACCTTACAACAAACAAATGCCAGATATGAGGTTTTTATCTCAGAGCTCAAGTCTTGATTTCCTAGCTGGGCACGGGTTTGATTTCAACAAGTGGATCTATCAGGGTATACCATTTCTTTTGCCGCCAGATGAAGGAAGACTTAGGCAGATGGTCAGTACAAACCATCATCGATTCATGCCCGGTGGCTCTCCATCCATCCCACCTGAATTTGCAACAACAATCAAACTTGTTATGAAAAAAGTTGAGAAATTTATCAAAGATCCCGTGAAGGAATCATTAAGTTTGCCATCATTTAGCCCCCAGGTGCATGAGCTGGTTTATAGCTCTGTCAAAGCAGCGCACAAAACCGGGCTTCGTTTAGAATCAAAAAAGAATGAAGACAATGATAGATATATAGTGATTACAAAATGGTCGAAAGCTGAAAACGAGAAATATGATCAGGAAGAAGTTCGGATCGAACAGGCAGTTGGATTTACGAAAGTGATCCGCCTTCTTTCGAAGTCAGGGAAAGTTATTCTGGGTCATAATATGTTGTTGGATCTCTTACATATGATAAGATTATTTCTCTCTCCTTTGCCTGACAATCTTGACGATTTTAAGGCTCTTGTTAAAGGCACTGTACCACGTCTAATCGATACTAAAGTGATGGCAAGTACAAAGCCTTTGAAAAGACACTTTCCAAAATCCCATCTTCAAGGAGTCTACGAGAGAAGCTCGGAAGCTCCATTTGTGAAGCCAAATGTATTGTTCACAGAAGAATTTGAAGACTACTCCGACGGCTCGAAAGCTCATGAAGCTGGCTTCGATGCTTACATGATTGGGGTGGCGTTTATTGCAATGGCCTCTTTTCTAGAGAAACAACGCCGCGATGGCGGTATGTCTCGTAGAGAAATGGATTTGGAAATCATCAAACCATATTTGAACAAAATCTTTCTTTTTCCAAAATTGAAAGATTTTCTATATCTTAACCTGAATGGTGATGATACTACTATGTCGTTCCCGCCATATATCCGTGATTCATTCCAAAATTCTACCAACACACCAAGTACTAGTATCGACACTCCAAGTAAAACAGCAGAAACCGTCTCATCCAAGCAATTGAAACATGATGCTTCGTCATTCGAGGTTGAGTTGGAAGAGCTTCCCGACTCGCCCGAACCTACAAAGAAGAAAACTAAAAGCTCAACATACCGAACCAGGCCATGAATGATACAGTTAAGAAACATACATATCTGAAAATTACAAAGTAGCTGTTTAAGCACTGTTATAATTGTACTAAGGACACATTACACATTCCTTTCCATATGGAACTCAGCATCAGGCTAGGATAGAGAAAATTTCATTACAGAGTAGAACGTTTCACAGAACAAAAATTTGGAACAATCTTGAAAACGATTTTAATTAAACAGATTTCTTCGTAATTTTAAGAATAAAATTAAAACACACTTTTTAGAAACCTTTTATTCTAATATTGTATTTCAATTTATTAAATTAAGATGAACTTTACAATATACACAAAGTTTAATATACAAACCCGCAATTAGCAGAGCTATTCTAGGCGGGAAGTAAACAATTTTCACATTAATTAATTAGTATAAGATATAATTAAATAATGAAGTAATTAAGTGAGATCAATGACAATGTAGATGATATCAATCACATCATTACTTGTATATATAATTCAATAGTAAGATTAAAGTGATAGTTAAGTAAATGAAGTTGCTATATCTAACTCAGAGAGTGAAAGATTCAAGTGAAAAACCCGCGTCTGGGAGCATTTCAATAAAGTATGTTAGTATGTATTTGATAACGTGTGTTCTGATGGCGAGGTTTTCGGCCGTTCTTTTATGGCGCGTGCTTTGCTGTTAGGCCACATAAAAAAATAGTTGGTTAGCGTCCTTAGCTTTTGCCAAAACGTGGGCGGGCGGGCGCTTTTTTTTTAATTTTCACTAATTTTCAACGCCCTTGTTTTACTCACTGTTAGGTCCGAAACTGGATTTTCTTGCGCAGTACAGATATTTTTTATATATTTCAAACTCATACCGTCATTTTCGCATGCAGTTTCGCAAATTATTAACACAATTGATTACAGTCAACAGAAATACTACATATGTTAGAGCCCGTTGATCAATAAAAGTTGTTTTTTTTTAAATAAAAAATAAAAAAAAATCCTGAGCGGGGTCTTTTTTGTGGGCGGGCGGGGACGCTAACCAACTATTTTTTTTATGTGGCCTTAGGGTATGAATGAATATTTATAATATATTTTATAATAAGTACTATTGAAAACACGAGCAGGAGTGTTTTAATATATCCATATAAATATAGGCATATCAGATATACTAAAACACGAGGCGACAGCAGAGTGTCTTATATCTGACAGGGTTCGTACAAAACTTGAATGTCCTTGAATTTGAAAACAAACATTCAAGGCCTTGAATGTCCTTGAATTTGTAAAGAAGTACTTGAATGTCCTTGAATTCTTCTTGCTTTAGTTTTTGGATATTTTCTGAAATTGTTTGACATTCAAGACGGGCATTTTGCCGTTGAACTGATCAGTTTTGCATGTTCATATCTGACCTCATTATAAAGTTACGTTTTGAACAATTCAACGTCAGATTTTGCTGATTTCTAACGCCTTCTTCAGTATTTAGTCCTTGAATTTGCTGATACATGGCCTTGAATGTCCTTGAAAAGTCCTTGAATTTGACTCTTCCTGACATGTACGAACCCTGATCTGATAAAGCACAGAGTGTTTTAACTAGCTTAAAAAACTACCCATCTTAAAAGTTCATTGGCGAAGTAATTTTAAAAGACGAAGAATCGAGTTAATTTGATAAGCTAAAGTTTATGTAAAGCCTGTAAATGAACATGATTACGGGAACCACTGAGAATTTTATAAACTACAAAACAATAGATACTCCGAAAATTGAAAGCATTTTGAAAAATTTATTTCAATAAATAAAAAAATAAATAAATAAATAAAAAAATTTTTTCAAAATGCTTTCAATTTTCGGAGTATCTATTGTTTTGTATTTGAACATGATTCTTATTCACGTATGATTTGTCACTAATACGCTCGGTCGAAGCACTGAATATATCTCGACACATGCCTATGTATTTTCTGCCGCAAAAAATATCGCAGTTTTTGCGTCTCGTGACCGGCGCCAAAATATGCGAAGCGGAGACACCACCAAAGATCATGGCGGAATTAAAATTGAAACTTTTCGATTTTGAGTGAATAAAAATGCTTGTACTTCCGATGTAAATCGGTAAAAACTTCGAAATGGCAGGCGAATACGATAACGACGATGTTGCTTGTTATTTTACAACCAAACACTCTTGGAGGGGCAAGTAAGTTTGAAGTAACCATAGGTTTTGTACCAGCCTGTTTTCTGTATGTTCTGTTCTGGCATGACATAATGAGTATGGTAGATCGAAAGTGAGGTGGCCTTATTTTCGTTTGTAGGTACAAACGGGTGTTTTCTATTGGATCAAAAGCTATAACAACTTATAATCCTACAACGTTTGAAGTCACGAATCAAGTAAGTTTGAAGTTTGGCGATAATTTGTTTTGATGTTGTACTATTGATCAATTTTGTTACTTTTGTACATATTGGTGCATAATAAATATGGTGGGTGATGGTATCAATAATTATATACAGTTGCCAAGTTTGAGACTGGAATATTTGAATGCCATCTCCCATCTGTCACATATGGTAAAAATCATGCACTTGAGCAATCTGTATACTTGTGCAATTCTGTATTTTCTGTCCAAAGGGGTTATTTCCACCACATTCACAACATTCACACACTTGCGGCTAAGGACAGGAATCTTGTCCGAACTGCGATCAGGAGACCCTATTCTAGCTAACCCTAAACACAACCCTAACCCCTTTTTACAACCTCAACATTTTTTATGTTGCCCACCATCTGTCATTCTGTATTACAGTCCATTTCACAAACTTCTTGCCAAAGTGTTCCTTTTTCATCTCAAAGTTCGAAAGTTCATATCAAAATGTAAACAAAGCCTCTGATTGGTCCATGAATTAAAAGAAGTCATTCGAATGCTTAGTTTACAAACCGGTTTGTGAACATTTTTATGAACTTTGGAACTTCGCAACAAAATTTGCGAACTTCGGAACGAACTTCGAAACATTTTTGGCAAAAGTTTTATGAAATCAAATGTAACCCTTCTACTCTATATAACATTTTCAGTGGGCATACAAAGATTTCCTAAACATTATGCCAAGTTTAAAAGCACCAACTGAAGTCACCATTTTGGTTAGAAAAGGTAATTTTTTTTTGAAATTTTTAAACAATCCGTATATCGAATACAGCCGGACCTTAAACTGCTAGCAAATTTTAAAAACACACCCTAAAACAAAGTGTTCTCTTTTGTAGCTAAAGAAGGCAAGAAGACTCAGAACATGACATTTTCCACAGAACACAGAGAAGATCTTATCACAGAAGCCTTAGTAAGGACCCCAAAATTTTGCAAAACTAAAGGCTCTTCTTCCCTTTGACACATTGCAGCTTAATGGGCTAATAGCGTTGAGTGCATGTTTTGTGTCATAATTTCCTGACATCCGTTTCTTTTGGTTTAGAAATTCTACAAAGAGTTTGGTGGTTACAAAAGTGGAAATGAGCTAGTATGTTTGATTATGAAGATCTGATATGGGTGGGGTGCAGGGTGATGACCGCCCCTCCCCCCCCCCCCGCCCCATGTAATTATAGCTCTCTTCCCCTAGAACATGTTGGTGTCAACCAGTAGTTACCAAAAATTTCATGCAATTTAATTATATGGACCTTTGAATGATTCTTTACCACATAACTTATCATAACTTAGGAAAGCCAGCTTCATTTCCCCCTGCAAAATCTCTACCCTCCTACCAGATTCCTGTTTTACTTTACTCCAGAAACTTCCACTGTTTCTCAAATGTTGATTCATGCCATTATACCCATTCTTAGGGCATGTTTATATGACCCCAGCTAGGTGGGATGCCACAATGGCCAAGATCTTGCATATTATACTTCAAGGGTTTAATCACATGGGGTTTAATCACAAGGGTTTAATCCTATGTTTTCACAGAGATTTAGTGGTTATAAATTACACTGGAGTGAACGAAAAGTTCCTGTTACATTGGAGGTATTATTAATTGTACTTTTTAAAACTTCCAAATATCTTTTAATTAATGGTAAACTTTATCAATACTTCGATTATTGAATTTATTTATTGATTGTAGCAAAATTATTTAACTTCTCTACAGAAGTATTCTGATCAGGAATTGTTTTGCATATTTAGGTGTCACCAGGCTCATTAGATCAGATTGATCCGAGGGATAACAAGAAATTGTGTTCATATAGCTATAAAGACATAGAACTGATTGCATTGGTATGTTTAAGTTCATGTTTACATGCATGCAGTTAAAATCCTAAGTCTGTGCAATTTTTAGAGGTGCACTGGCCAGAACTTGGTTCTGGCCAAAAATTGGTTTTGGTACATGCACCTGTAACAATTTTGCTTATCCTGAGTTTATAGATGTTGAATGATCAAAACGTTTGTTGAATTTCTCTTTTTCCAAGGTTTCAGACTATCCTGGTGGATTTGTTGTTGTCACAGGCGGTTTTAGTAGGATGGTATGTGGTAGATTGGGTCTTAAGCTTGTATATTCTGTGATAACATTTAACCTATGCATACACCTGTTATTTATTCCATATTTCAAATCTTCTATTAAGATTGACCTCTTGTTAAAATAAGCCCCCACCCTTTCCCAAAGAAGACATTTATTAAACCCCCTCTCTATTAAAGCCCCTCCCTCCCCCAGTTGTCAATAAAGAAACATATGTGTGCTGATTAGACAAAAATCCATTCCTTTCGTAAATGTGCCGCTTGAAATAAATACGCCACCCAATAATCAGATTAAAATGAGAACGAAATGATGTTAAAAAGCGGCTGTATTCGCAAACTACAACGAACTTTTTATTTCTGTTTTTAGCATCTTTTTACGACAGATAGAAGAGAAGAACTTTTAAAAAAAATGATGGAGGCGTCATTCAACAATGTTGGTGTGACGATAAAGTATGTGCAAATCTCCAATTTGTTCGGATGGAGTACAAATCTGTGAAAATATCCGAGAAACGGAGACTCATATGTTTTTATACTTTTTTCAGACAAAAGAAAAGCTCTATAAAGGTGGATTCGTTTTTAAAGTACAAATTTGGAAAATTCAGGTGAAAGATTCTTCTCACACACAGCTGAGGGATGCTGCACACGCAAGGCAGCCTGACCTTTAATCAACACAAATATCACATATTTACAATAAACGGATCCGTACAAACTGCAACTCACTAATTATCACGTGTTAGACTAGACCCAATTCTAGTTAGCACACTACTGCAACTGCATAATAACTTAGGCACTACCTGCCAATAGGGTGGGTGGGACACAGGTCAGGCTAGCACGAGGCAAGCAAAAAAGTGACTCTGATGACCTTGACCCCACCCTTGACCCAATCCCCCAGCAGTGTGAGAGAAAAACATTTTCTGCCTCTTTCGTTCCTCAGCCAGCAGAAAATAACACTTGTACAGTATTAACGTTGATAAAACATTGTACTCTTTGTCTATCAGCTTTATTGAACACAATATAGTAGAAATATTTACAAGTTATAAGTCCAATGGGGATAGTGCAAACATGACAACGAGACCCATGCTGGGCGCAACCCCTAAACTAATATTAAACTAGTAATAGAACACCCCCCCCCCCCTACAAATATATATTAATTTACATAATATGCATATTAAGAACGGTGGCAGGGGCAGACTCTTGTGAGCGACCAATTGTATGCCATATCAACATTAAAAGTTTTGTTGACCAACGCGGTGTATGTCACATGCAGAAAGCTATTAAAAATAGCTAAGCTGGCGAACTTTTCAGTAGAGGCTATTTTTCCAACATTATTCCAAGTTTTAACTATTCGGTTAAAGAACGCTCCTTGGAAAGTGGATGTTCTGCAGTGTGGAGATTTTAACATTAGAGAAAGATTCTGCGTACGAGTTCGATTATGATGTATATTGATGATACATGACATTAAGCAAACGTGAAACAGTTTCCATAAACCTACGATATTCTGTTGCAGCGATGACGAACACATCACATCGATGTCAGAGTTTTCTGTCTATAAGCAATCTCTAAGAAGTAAAGTAAGTTGGCTCTCTCCCTCGTTAATTTCTGATAATTGTGCTGTGATCGGTTAATGCTTACTGGAATTTTCTGAGTAAATCTTCAAACTAATTTCATTCGTATTTAGGATCCAATTCAACGAACATTGTGTTTCTCAGAAATGTGTTTGTTAGAAAGGGATCCAGCAACGTACAACATCGTTACGCTTCGTCCGCTTAGTTCTGTAAGTCATGTATATATGTACATTCATGAAATAGATGCGCATTTCATGTTGCTTAAACTAAGAAAGATCCAATTGACCACTTGCGTAATAGACTAAATTGTGATCTAGACAAAAATTTCATCACACTTGAAAGAGCATCACAAAATTAGTAATATTCCAAAGTTTCGTTGCAAAATGTTGTAAAATGCGGATAATATAGCCTTGCGAAGTTTGCAATTTTCAATCATTTTATAGATTACAAACGGGAAATTGACAGCCCAATACCCTTTGGGGTATTGGGCTGTGATGAAATTTTTGTCTAGACTTGTTTAGATCAAAATTTAGTCTATTACGCAAATGGTCAATTGCATTTAATTTGATGGATTCAATTTTCAAATAGATTTTTTCAATTATTCGCTATCGAGATCACCCGCAGTTGTTTGGTTTGGAATACACAAATGGTCAACTGAGGAAATATTCATCCCCAGACAGGCAAGTAGTCTTTATAATGATGATTCAGGACCGTAGCGACCGTGTGTGTGTGCGGGTGTACCCCCCCCCCAATATTTGTTCATGAGGTAAATTTCTAGGTGACTTTAAGGTAAATTTTAAGAGCATTGACAGGCAAGCGTGGATGTTTAAAGTGCGACTAACCCCAAATATAATTTTTGATATGTGTAGTATTTGGGTCATTCTAAGAAAAAATGTAAAGTATTTTTATAGTTAAAAACCTCATCTTGATCAACTTTTTCACTGTCAAAGTTTCCAGATATGACGTCATTAGGTGAATTTTTTATACAAAAAACAAAGGAAAACTAATTTGCAATTCCTCTAATGACGTCATATCCGTAAACTTTGACAGTGAAAAAGTTGAACAAGATGAGGTTTTTTACTATAAAGATATATTACATTTCTTCTTCAAATGACCCAAATATTACACATACAAAAAATCATATTTGTGGTTAGTCGTACTTTAAAGTAAACGGAAGCTAAGAATGCCAAATTTTAGTTGAATTTCCGGACTTTCTGAGGATCTAAAAATTCAAAATTTTCTTGGGGGAGCACCGAAGCCTTTAGTACATTTGAATCTTCGGTGGTCGTTTTCGCCAACTTCCAGAGTTTCGCTTCGCTAACTACTGCCGCCAACGTTCCTGGGTCGATTCGCCAACGTTTCCTCACGTTCTTATGTCAGTTCGCCAACGTTACATAGTTCATACATGGATATATAAATCTATTAATGTTTGTAGAGAATAACCGAAATAGCGAATTCTCCTGATATTTATTTTTAGACGGTGTAAAACAGGTTTAATCAGCGGACGCTAAACAAGTAATTTTTCGTAGGGCCTTAAACTCACGAAATGTGAAAGTTTTTATGCATATGATATACCATTCAAGTAACACAACTGAAGAGTTTTCAAACAACAATACGAAGATTAACTATACTCTGCACTAACAAAATTCCACAATAGAGCATAGAACAATAACCACGGCTGGTGACGCTTTTGATCGCCAACGTTCCAACATATTTTCTACAAACATTGTTTGTGTTTCATGGTTTCACATTATAAAGACGTGAACTATTAAATGACCATGGATTGTAAAATAATTGTAAACCATGGATTGTTTA